AAAACTATTGCCATTGCACCTTATCAGTTCTCGCCTGGAAAGCAACATCCAGTGCTCGGGCGTTGTCTGCCATGCTACGAAGCTTAGTAGTACTTACATGTCCCCGTCAAGTTTGTGCCGGGCAAGCCCTCCTAGCCAACCTGCCATCTATTCAGCACCGGATTCTTGATGCATCAATCAATGTCACAGGAATGTGGGCATTTGTGCTGCATGGCGTGTTCCGGCAAAGGTCATGGTACAGTGGGCTTCCGGGTTGCTGCCAGGATCCTGCATGATCTAAGCTGCAAGGCTTATAAGCAAACTCCATCCATGAGCAGCACCCTTTTGTGTTGTTTCCCACTGCCTCGGAAGCTTTTTGACGGCTCTCACTCTCACACCTCGCAGCAGTTACCAGCAGCAAGGGGTTGGAGCTCTGGCTAGCCTGGCGTGCGGCTTTGGAGGCAACTTGGCCACGCAGGAAGGGAGCAAGGTCAAAAGTAACAGGACGACTACGGGAAACGAAGAAGCCAAAGATGGTCCCAGCATCGACATGCGGAGAGTTCCCTCTAGCTGATCTCGCCGCCGGCATCCGTGGAGCCCCAGCCTTTTGCTGGTTGGTCGTGGGAGGGAAGTCGTGGGGAAGCCCAACCCGGCATGTGTTGGTGTACCGTGGGCAGCGGCAGCTTGGTTTTCTGGGCCACGGCTGGTAGCAGGCGCACGGCGGCACACGGCCCAAGATAGGACAATCGCAAAACAGGGGTTGTGACCTCCTTGGGCAATGCATCCTCCGCATGCTAGGCATCGAAAGAGCATTCAGCTCTGGCCTTGCTAAAGACAAAGGCTTCCTCTGAAGGGGCCTTTGTCCTGAGCCTTCAGTCCGCTGTACCCACAGCGGCACTCTGATAGCCACAAGCCGTCAAGTGACCGTCCAAAGTGCAAGGAAAACCCTCGCCTTGACGCCTGCGCTGTGGCCAGAGGGTGCTGTGGGAAAGCTCGTCTGCGCTGGTACGGGCTGCATGACGGCCGTGCTACCAGAGGCAGTGGGCGGTTCCAGTGCTCAGGAATGGCTGATCGCCGTAGCCAGCAACCAACAAGCAGCTTTTCAACAACTCAAAAGCCTGCATGTGCTACAGGTCCCTGGCCCAGAGACAGGGCATTTGTCAAGGGCCGCGATGAATGGAACGGACAAGGCGTCTGGGAGACTGGTGGAAGGCGGCGCAAAGTGCAAGAGCAGCCGCATGAGCCAAAGCGCAAACGAACGACCGAGCCCAACGGCGAGAGCTGTCACTATGCGCGGCTAAGGTGCTGTCCACTTGGATGGCTTGTGGCAAGGCAAACAGGCTCAGACCTTTAGAAGACCAAGGCGCAGGGACCAAAATGAATGCGTTCTGTCTCAGCGGGTTGAGCGCTTCAAAGCGAGAATCCCATGGCGCATCACACCTAGCCTTAGGGTGGACAAGCTTCTCGAGATAGCGGTTTTTTTCAAACCCTCAGCTCCATCTTGTGCGATTCACTGCATGATAGCAAAGCCTTATGTCCTATCTTGTGGCAGCTGGCAGAAACTCTGGCGTGCGTGAGGTTGATGCCCCGGCACGCGCGACATGATGCGGAGTGAGGGCCGAGGTCGCGAGAGGGTGTGTGGATGAACTCTCGGGCTGCGAGCCTTGAGCACTAAAGGTCGTGAGCTCCCGACCGCGCGGATCAGGTCAAACGGCCATCCATCATCTGTGCCGCCTAACGCGAGCTTCCTTCAACTTTGCCACGAGGGGGGGTGAAAAAGCGGGTAGGCTGTGCAGCATGTGACAACTGGCTGCGCGCTTTTGCAGGTGCCAGGGAGAGCGATCAATCACTTCATGTCAAGATGTTTTCAGCACAGCCGGGGTTTGTGTTGGCCTGATGCGGCTGGCATGCAATCTAGAAAACCAAAAACCGTTCAGAAAGCTGAAGAACGCTGCCAAGACAAGCCTGGCATCGACAGCCGCCGGCGGATACGCCTACTGCACGGCAGGACAAAGGGCAAGGCCAGTGAACGCTCGACATGATGTGGAGTAGGGGCCGAGGCCCAACGAGCAGTACCAGCGCCGGTTCGCGAAAAGGTGTGCGGATGAACTCTCGTGCTGCGAGCCTTGAGAAAAACGGTTGTGAGCTCCGGACCCAGCGCCGGCTCGCGAAAAGGTGTGTGGAGGAACTCTCGTGCCACCACACGGATCAGGTCAAACGGCCATCCATGGTGAACTCATCTGTGCCGCCTAGATTGTCAATGAGAGCTTCCTTCAACTTTGCTACGAGGGGGGGCTTGCATGCAGCTGAAAAAGCGGGTACGCTGTGCAGCATGTGACAGCTGCCTGCGTGCTTTTGCAGGTGCCAGGGCGAGCGATCACGTCATCTCAAGATGCTTTCAGCACAGCCGGGGTGCGAGTTGGCCTGATGTGGCTGGCATGCAGATCTAGACAACCGAAAACCCTTCAGAAAGCAGCTGAAGAACGCTGTCAAGACAAGCTTTGCATCGACAGTCTACTTCACGGCAGGACAGACGGCAAGGCCACTGAACGCGCGACATGATGCGGAGTAGAGGCCGAGCTCGTGAGAGGGTGTGTGGATGAACTCTCGGGCTGCGAGCCTTCAGCACTAAAGGTCGTGAGCTCCCGACCGCGCGGATCAGGTATATGTCATCAGCTCTTCGGCTCTTCTGGTTGGTGACTGTGCGGGCAACCTTGAACACAGCCTGTTGCTTTACTGACCAGACAGCTCCAACCCTGACAAGTCTCGGCTACAGCTTCGGGGAACCAAATTCTTAGATGCCTGCTTCAGGCGAAAAGCGTGAACCATTGAAGCTAACGCAATCTTAAGAATCCATGTTCCCCCCGGCTCGAGTTTTGCTAATCTTTGCGCAGTTAACTGCCTTGGCTCTCACAGGGACAAAGCCAAGAGCAGCACCCCGACAAACTCCAGTGCCGCAGGACAAGGAAAAACGAAGGACTGCTGGGCAGTGGTAGTGGCACCCCCTTTTCTGCACAGAGGCTTCGGAAGTTTCAATTATCGGGCCACCTCCACCAACGGCTTACAGGGCAGGGCATGACGAAGGCAGCCTGCACGGAAGGAGCCTCATGGCAGCGTTGAAAGCTCTAAATTAGCTCCGTGATTTCGCTTTTGGGGAAATATGTTTGAGCAGTAGGAAGGCCACGAGCAGGAGCAGCGTCACAGCAAAGCACTCTGAGCACTCATTGCTTGCTTTGAGCGGCCGTGTGCCGATGGCGAAGCCTGAGTTTGCAGTGCACGCCGTGAACGCTGCAAAAAGGGATGCGCCATGTCAGGCCCGCGTAGGCGGTAGGCCCAGAAGGCCTAGGCCTAGTCCCAACAGAAGCCGAACTGCTGGGCGGCTAGCATCAAACAATTATCTGTGGGCTGCGATCGGCAGCCCGCACTTTCTGTGACCGTGCCATCCGCACTGAGACGCCGTGAGAGTTGACACTGGCCCTTTACCTTAAGGTAACGAGAGCGGCTGAAGGTGCATGCTTGGCACTCGAATGACAGCAGGAAAGCTGCCAGCTCCCAAGGCTTTGCGATCGGTGCAGGGCCTCGTCACAGTCGAGCAAACGAAATGTTGGCTGTGAGAATTTCTCCGGAACATCCGAAAGTCTTCGCAGGCTCAAGCTCTCAAGCTCATGCTTTTGTAACGGCAAGCAGTGGGAGGGCAGCCCATGTCACGCAGGCACTGCAGGCTCCGCACTGCCATGAACGAGTTTTGGAGTTCCTCAGAAACACTTCGGAGTTTTCTATGCCAGACGGATCCCCACTACATCAGCAGAACTTGTGGCATTGATGCTCAGCTTGTTAAATTTATATATACCTGCACTTCTTGCTTGCAAACAGCGGCATCTCGGGTCGCTGAAGCCTCCACGGCATCTGAGTTCACAGCACACAGTTTGCTCTGCCCAGAGCTCCAGCGGAGAAGCCCGTGGTCGAAAAATCACAATCATGTCGCTGCAGAAACCGGCGCTGCGTGCACTTGCACCATTCTTGCGGCGGCAAGTTGCACAATGAATGAGATAGGGCAATGAGGAAAACGAGCGGCCCCCGTTTGGCGTCTGATGGGCAAACAAAGTTTTTAGGCAAACGGGAACCTGCCCACTATCAAGGCATTCAGAGATTTCCGACCGGCCAATGCCAGGCGGTGCCGACACGGCTAGAGGAGTGTTATCGTCACCAGAATCGGCGACATTCGCGCGAGTTCGGGCAGCTGCTCACTTCGCTCTGACTGGATTTTGAGTCTTGTGGAGTGCCGGGCTCTCCGCGATCACACTAATCTGCACAGCCGGTTTCCAGGGCTGAAGCTTCGGAGAATCTTGGAAGCATGTAACCACCATTGCTGCGTGCTGAACTGCCAAGCACCGCCGGAGCTGTGCCCAGCCAAGACCCTGAGCCCGCTGGACAGGAGCCAGGCACACGCACAGGTCAGGCAAATCACACCTTCTTGTCTCTTGTTGTCCCAGGCGGTCGCACCCTGGAATTTTCTCTTGCAGGTGCAGCTGGCATGAGCAGTGGAGGAGCCTCAAATTTTGCAACAGAAGCTGGCACAGAAACACCTTGGATCCTCGGGCCCGAAGCAGCTCCAAAACGTGCATGTCGCACATGGTCTAGACATAGCTGCATCAACAGTCCACTGTCAGCACGCTGTAGTTCGGGAACTGGTACCGCGGCGGTGCTGCTATGCCTGCTATGGCCAAGAGCTCCGGATCCGGGACAAGCAGCAGGAACAAAAAGTAAACTCCGGCCGCGAGAAATCTGAGACGTGTCTCGCTGTGCGACTTCACACAGAAGTTTCGCACGGCTCCACAGGCAACTGGTAGGCTTCATTGGCCGAACAACCTGAACCAGCATTGACCCGCAAGCCCCCAACACAAGGGACTTATCCGAACTGTCCTAAACCTCAAAACCTTAAATGCAAGCGAATCATCCGAAATACCAGAACGTGGAGATCTGCAGCTGGTGGCTCTTGCTAACCCTTGGCCGTGCAACAGATGGTAGGTGCATATTTCCCGCAACTAGAGGTAACGTATGCCAATCCACTGGACAAGATCAAAGCGAGGCGAAGACGCCCAAAGACGATCGAACCGGGAGAGGGTTTGATGCCGGAGATCTGCGTGTTGGGCGATGCGAGGAGCCTGGCCAAGGCGCCGAGCGGGAGCGGGCTGCGGGTGCTGTGGCGGCGGTCTAAGTATACTGTCTTCTGGGATTCAAACATTTTTCAGCATCACGGGCGCCTGAAGGACCGTCTGGCTCTCCCAATGGAGAATGCAGCAGAGCCCGATTTTGCCTGCCACGAAAGCCTGTAACACATGGCCAAGGGGAGTCCAGGCACACCGAGAGCAGTCAGGCAGGGACTAATGCACAGAACAAAATTGAAGCTGGTGGAATAGAGGACATCTGACATTGTACTCGGCACCAGACCACGTGCTCGGCACCGTGGGCTGATGCAAACAGCGCGGTGGCCATCAGACTGCCGTGGCCGCCATGGCCAGTGTGCTCAGCGAAGATGAGAACCACAGTGGCGCTTGCGCAGGCCCTTCTGGGAAAAGCCGCGTCTAAGTCTATGGCGCATCCTTGAGAGCTCACTCGGGCTTGGAGCTGCTCTAATGCAGAGAGGCCTCAGCCTTGCTGAGACCGAGCGGATAGGATTCCAGCGACGTCAATCGGTGGGTTTGTGACTTCCTTATGCTGCCAGGAAAGCAGCGAAGCCATGCGAAGCTCGGGTGCACTCCGAGGCAACGCAACTAGTGCCTGATAGTGGCACGCTTGGGACCACCACATATCGCAAATCAAGTGCACGCAACTTAGAGTCTCGGAGGCTGCAGCAGTCAGGGTGCTTGCTTGGCACTCAGACAGGCACCAAAGCGGCGAAGGACATCATCTCAAGACGATGCAGGCACACTGAGGGACACCCCGGAATGCTATCCGTGTCTGTCCGAGTGGCGCTGGAACACTTGGTGGTAGAGGCCCAACAACAGGTTATGGGCAAGCGGCCAAGCCGCGTGCCCCGATTGCCCAACTCGGGTCGGAAAATGATGGGTATAAGCTCTGTGGCCAGGGCCTTAGGTTGGAAGGTGGTTTGCCACACTTCTCAGAAGATCTGGCTCAGGTGGAAGGGTCTAAGACCGTCCCGAGACCAGAAAAACGTCAAGACCCTGAAGCCCCGGAACTCACAGCGCTGCGCTGCACATCTGATCACCGCATGCCTGCAAGGACAGCTCTACGCCTGCAAGTAACTGCAAGTGAGATGCTGACTGAGAGAGCCTGGTGCAAGCTGCCTCTGTCTACAGGAGCTGGCACACCTTGGCGAACAGTTCTTGGGTGAATTGAGAACAGCTGTTGTGCGCAAAGACTGTCAGCCTGTTGGGGTCAGGATTCTTTGCATTCTTTCCACGCTTTGGGCGCTTGAGCCAAACACGCAAGCCTCGCAGGGAGCGCATGCCGCCTGCGAGGACCCAACTGGTTCAAAATGCCCGTGGGGCAGGGACAATGAACATCTATGCCACCTCTTACGCACAGGAGCCGTGTTAAGTCCACAGTCCAGGTTTGCAAGACGTGAGTATGCAAACAGCTTGATGCCAACCCCTATACCGTTTGAGAGGCTGAAACCTTCTGCTGGCGAACCTTAGAGATTGAAGCCACAAGCAGCATCTCGGCTCAGCCGGGCTCAGACCGAAAGGGGAGTGAAAGCAGCAAAAGCAGTGTCTGGCGAAAGCGGGCCTAGGTGTGCTGGGTACAGACTGACACAAACCAACTGCGAAGACAACGCGCGAGCATCTCGAGTCGAACGTCGTCACTCGCCAAGCTGTGCTTTCGCCACCGCGGGATAACGAACCGCACATCAAGGCTTCAAGTGTAAATGCTGGCCTGTGGATTGAAACTGCACGCTAAAGCGGCCACCATCGTAGCCAGTGGCTGCAAGACTTGATCTGGGGACTTTGAGCAAGCAGAATCTCGTGAACATGTCAGGCTGCATCTCTGCCTTGTCTTTAATGGAAGCTGTGGAGGACGTGGGAGACACACAAGCTTCTTCGCGATGGATACATGCGTGCAGCGCAAGTCCACTTGTGCACTGCACGTCAAGCGCCGAGAAGACACGAGCCAGACATGCAGCATCAGAAGCATCAGAAGAAACCCTTGTCGCTCGAGACCTTCTCGCGCATCTGGCGCGGGCACTGGCTGCAGAGGCATGGATTTTTGGGCCTCACAGTGGACAGACGGCGGCGGAAGGAGGGGAGAGGAGCGAAGCAACAGTACGCATCATTCTGAGCTTGGTGAGCTTTGTGCCGAATGACCACTTTAAGGCGCTGGCAATGCCGTGGAAACTCTCTAACACTCCAGCAAGACTATAATCCTAGGCTATTTCTCCACAGGGACAGCAGACGCCGAGAAGAGTTTCCACAGGGCATGACCAGGGAGGCTCGACGTGTGGCTGAGGTTGCCGATGCCTGGGAGCCAAGCATTGACGCCGGAGGAAGGCACTTTGTTGCGGGTATTGCGCGCGCTAGCGACAAAGCACGCCGAACACAGGACACTCAAGCAATGGTATGGAACCGAGCCCACGTGATCCTTTGCCACTCGAGGCGCCTGCTTGCAAAAAAGCCCGGGTGGTCTGGTGCCTGGTAGTGCCACACCTGGGGCCAACATAGCGAGCACACCTCGCAAATCAAGTGCACGCAACTTAGAGTCTCGGAGGCTGCAGCAGTCAGGGTGCTTGCTTGGCACTCAGACAGGCACCAAAGCGGCGAAGGACATCATCTCAAGACGCAAGCACACCGAGGGACACCCCGGGATGCTATCCGTGTCTGTCCGAGTGGCGCTGGAACACTTGGTGGTAGAGGCCCAATAACAGGTTATGGGCAAGCGGCCACGCCGCATGCAGCCGGACGCAGCCGGCGTTTGCACAACTCGAGTCGGAAAATGTAGGTTTCGGCAACTGAGCACAAGCTCAGGCTGGACCGATGGAGTGCGACACTTCTCAGAAGATCTTGTGTAGGCGGAACGGTCTCAGACCATCCCGCAAGCAGACGTCAAGCCCTTCAAGCACCAGCACCAACAGCGGCGGAGGCCCTTGCCTTCGCTTTACAAGGATGGCATCCGTGCAGATTGCCCAGGTCCAGCCTCAGACTCATATCTTCGGCGTCGAGGCCCAAGCATTGAGTGGCAACGTGGCTTTCAGGCAAACAAAGACTTTCGGGCGCAGGATCATGAGGCAGCGTGAGCAAAGCGCCGCCACCCCCCACAAAGTCAGAGGCTGGAGCTTCAAAAACCTTGGCCAAGGCCGTACCAAACCTTTGCTAACTCACAGGGAACAAGGACGCGAATCTGAAACCTTGCTGTCGCCCTTCTCGCATGGAAGCCAAAAGGACTCTTGCCGCGGCACCCTGCTCGCTATTAGCGTGCAAACATGCCCACGCCGCACCTGCGACCACGGGCTGCGATGTTAAATAGAACTAAATCCGCAGGCATCCATTCTGAACAAGAGTTGCGTCCACAACGCCCGGATGCATTTCTATTGGAACGCCCAAAAGTGAAGGTGCTGGCAATTCTGTCGAAACCCTCTGACACTCCAGTACCACCGCAAGCCATTTTTCCACCCAAGCTCGGACAGAGGCAGCACAAGCCAAGAAGAGGCTTCGCTAGACGGGAAATGGCCATGTGCTGAGATTGCGGCCGGGATTGCCGATGAAATGACGCCGGAGGAAGGCGCTTTGCTGCGGGTATTGCGCACGCTAGCGACAAAGCACGCCGAACACAGGACACTCAAGCAATGGTATGGAACCGAGCCCACGTGATCCTTTGCCACTCGAGGCGCCTGCTTGCAAAAAAGCCCGGGTGGTCTGGTGCCTGGTAGTGCCACACCTGGGGCCAACATAGCGAGCACACCTCGCAAATCAAGTGCACGCAACTTAGAGTCTCGGAGGCTGCAGCAGTCAGGGTGCTTGCTTGGCACTCAGACAGGCACCAAAGCGGCGAAGGACATCATCTCAAGACGCAAGCACACCGAGGGACACCCCGGGATGCTATCCGTGTCTGTCCGAGTGGCGCTGGAACACTTGGTGGTAGAGGCCCAATAACAGGTTATGGGCAAGCGGCCACGCCGCATGCAGCCGGACCGCAGCCGGCGTTTGCACAACTCGAGTCGGAAAATGTAGGTTTCGGCAACTGAGCACAAGCTCAGGCTGGACCGATGGAGTGCGACACTTCTCAGAAGATCTTGTGTAGGCGGAACGGTCTCAGACCATCCCGCAAGCAGACGTCAAGCCCTTTAAGCACCAGCACCAACAGCGGCGGAGGCCCTTGCCTTCGCTTTACAAGGATGGCATCCGTGCAGATTGCCCAGGTCCAGCCTCAGACTCATATCTTCGGCGTCGAGGCCCAAGCATTGAGTGGCAACGTGGCTTTCAGGCAAACAAAGACTTTCGGGCGCAGGATCATGAGGCAGCGTGAGCAAAGCGCCGCCACCCCCCACAAAGTCAGAGGCTGGAGCTTCAAAAACCTTGGCCAAGGCCGTACCAAACCTTTGCTAACTCACAGGGAACAAGGACGCGAATCTGAAACCTTGCTGTAGCCCTTCTCGCATGGAAGCCAAAAGGACTCTTGCCGCGGCACCCTGCTCGCTATTAGCGTGCAAACATGCCCACGCCGCACCTGCGACCACGGGCTGCGATGTTAAATAGAACTAAATCCGCAGGCATTTATTCTGAACAAGAGTTGCATCCATAACGCGCGGACACATTTCTCGGGGTTTGGTAGGCTTGGCGTCAGACACCAAAATGAAGGTGCTGGCAATGCTGTGAAAACCCGCTATACCACTCCAGTACCACTCTAAGCCATTTTTCCACCGAAGTTCGGACAGAAGCGGAAGTTGCCGAGACAGGGGCTTATGCCAGGTACTTAACTCTTCTGGCGGATTGGGAAGGACCGAGAAGTCTTATTTGGGCTGCAGGGTGGAAGTGCTCATTGCTGATGTTTCGAGACATGCCACGACTTTCACTGGGGAACAGCAGGGAACTTGTCACGACTGTGGGCAGTAGGATGGCGTGAGGCACGGCTATCGTCCGCGAGGTTTCAACATCGCCAAGGGGCCGCAGGCCCTCAACAAGCCTCAACTCACAATCCATGCCTTGCGCCACACCTGGTTTCAACATCCCATGAAACAGCTGCAGCCACACAAAGGAGGTGCCGGACAGGCAGGTGCGCCGCTCCCCTCGCCAAGGCATCTTGGCGAGTCGCCTAGGAGTTTAGAACGCCGGCCCTGGGACCTGCACGTGCCCAGGGCTTCTCTGCCCCTGTCTGTCGATTC